TTAGATTTTTCAAACTTCGATGCCAACTTCACCTAGCTCATGAGTTCTCGCCGAATGTTTCTTTCTCGTTACTCGATACTCGATTAAGTCATATCGACCGCGAGATTTTTCATTCCACCGAAAACCAGATATTTGGTTACAGAGGGCTTGTGGACTGGTTTTTAGTCTCTCCATTGGCTATTTATTGGATGACATGCAAATTTTTCGTGTATTGATATAAAATTGTTGCACTCTTCCAAATATTTATCTCTCCTTTTTTTTTAAACGTTTATATACGAAAATTTTATGCGCAACGCCACCCAAATATTCATTTCGATAATTTTCGTTTATATTCATGGAAAAGACATTACGCAAATAAATATTTAAATATACAATTTATTTTTGGGAATTTATTATTCGAAAATTACAAAGGGCGGCAAAGATTTGAAAATGAAAAAATCGTGAAAACTCATGGCGACCGCAAATTATTGAATTATTTTCCAGAAATATTCGTACAAAAGATATAAAACGAATATATGCTTGCCCCAAGTGAATAGACCGGGTAAAGTAATTTTTTCTTGGACTATTTCGGATCAAGATGAAGAGAGATGAATAACAGAAAGACGATTGTATATGAATTTAGTCGAGGAGAAAAGAGAGAGTAAATACTTTACAATATAATAGTAGGCGCCGTGTGTTGGTTGTGAGTTTGTGGAGTCCCCAACAGTGGTTACACCAGTGTCCGACATAATTTATGCTTTGCGCACGGTGGCGAGCGTTAAACGTCACAAGAATGCTGTTGGATAAGCATTTTAAAGTATTTTTTTTTTATTTCGTTACTCGGTATCTCTCGTTTTTAATGACCGCAGAAAAATAAATTCAATATGCTAAAGACATTTTGCAATAAATTATATTGGCTGGGTTTTCGGTGGAAATGCGCCGAAACGATAGTCACGTTCTTGACTCTTACCGATTTTTAATAATGATCAATAATTTCCGTGTACATGGGGTGGAGTTGAGGTACATGGAGTTTGCACGTGCACGGAATTCGTGTCGGTAGATCAATCGTGAAGTTATTGACCAGTCGAGTATGATCGGTATATTTCGGGTTAGTACGTGCAATTCGATCACTTTCTCTCGTGATAAAATATTGTCCTTCGAGGGATTGGTCATTAATTATTGATCGATCAATCGCTGGTGGATTGTGATGATATTCATTCGAGACGATCGGTGAGATCATTTCGTCGAGGTTAAATTGCGAATAGAATATTTTTAATCCATCATTTATTGGTTAAAATTTTCACCGCGTGTGCATTCGAAAAAATTTTCTTCCCTTTAAATATTAATTTTTTTTTCCAATTCGCAATAGTTGCGCGTTTGATTCGATTTAATCGTTATTTAATTTGAAGTAAATATCTTTCTTGAGAATTTGAGATCTTATTGGTGAACGATTGGTTCAAGGACAGCCTGAACTTTCAATTTCGATGTAAAAATCGGATTTCGCATTTTATCGAACTCAACTATCAGAATTATCAGAGCTATTGTGAAATTAGAATTTCATTTAATATTCGAAGCAATTACCCGATTTTTCCTCAAAATTCGAATATTAAAAAATATAAAAAATATAAAAAATATAAAAAATATAAAAAATAGCAATCCCCAATATTTTAAATTAACCAATCAAACTTTCGGTGACTTCTACTTTTCACTCAGAGTATCGAATAATCTCCGTAAATTTATTAATTAAAGTTAGTAAATCAATCCAAACTTTGCATTACATTTGAAAAAATCTTGGACGTCTCAACCCGGAGATAAAGGGAGTCCATTCTGCCCCAATGTTGCCCAGGGCAATAGCCAGAAAGACAAATGAGTTAAATGAATGTCCAATTTGCCTTCATATCCATCTCTGTGTGCACAAAACCAAAAGAGTTATGTTTTGTGGAGAATATCACGGGTAAAAGACCTGGTGAAACAGTGCAGGGTCTAGGTGCCTGCTGAGGGCAGTCCCCAAAGCGTTCCGGACAATTTACGCCCTCCCTGGCTATTCATTCTCTTTTCCATTCTACTTTACCCAGTAAAACACGGTATTTCCTTCTCCAGTTCATGTAATTACCATCTGTAGTTTTTTCGAGATTCACTCGCAAATTAACTCGCCTCAAACTCCTCTCTGCAAACTTTTGTTGAATTTTTGGTGAAAACTCTTCGCATTTAACTCTCTCTTACGGTTCAGGAAAAAATTCCATATATTTCTTCACCTCTTCTTTATTTATTCAAATATATATTTTATACAAATCCATTTTCAATATATATATTTGGAAATTAATCGATTGCAATTTTATAATTTTAAGACAAGGGGAATATTTTGATTTCTAAAAAAAAATTTCTTTGCGAATCAATTCGACTTTTTAAATAATTTATTCCATTTTCTTCGAGGGCCTTGTGATACTTCCGCTAGATTTTGATAGAACAGTTTTTTTTATTTCAATTTTTTTAATCTCATTGGCTATGCTGAAATGAATGAATGGTTTGAGGAATAATCGAGCCGACGGTTTATCATAATCCCGATTGATGCGAGTTGATGAAGGTGGAACTAATCAATCCTCTGAGAAATTCTCGTCTCTTCATTAATGCCTCGAGTTTATTTGAGTCACTCACTCGGAAATATAATCACGGTGAACGGGATTTTTTGAAAGGCGTTGTTTCCTTTGTATTTGATTCCCCTTTTTTCGTCGGTGAGAGATAATTTTTTTTGTTAGACGATATTGGAACATCACGGAAGAAGATGGAATTTTAAATTAAGATTATATTTCTAAATTTATCTATTTTTCATAAATCACCGGAAATTATTGACCTCGTGTTAATTTCCAGTGATATTCAACTAATAAACATATAATATCACTTTATAATTAATTTAATAATGAAAATTTTCTCGGTTCCCCAGATTAAAATTAATTGTAAAATTCACGGAGAATAATTGCGGAATATTTTACCAACTGAAACATTAAATCAGATTTTGATTTAGAATTCCATGGAATTCCAAATTATTTCACCTGAAAAACAACATATTAAGAAAATTGAAAGGATTGTGTGTAATTAATTTATCTCATCATCAAACTAATAATGAAAAAATATTGTAAACAATCCAAAAGGAAATATTTCAATTTCATTTCGCATCAGTAGCGAAATGATTTCAATTGATTTGAAAATCGATGCGTTGTTCACTCGCCTAGAATTTCCGGGTGAAATTGAAGATCTCAATCAATCAATATCGATCTCACCATCGCGATCATAATATCGCGTACAAGCGGTGGTGAAACCTAACGGAATTATCACCAACACACGATCAGTGGTTGGAATGACATCCCTGATCGCCATTTATCCCTCAACTGCGAAATTCTCTCACTCCTCAGACTGTCTGATCGAGTTTTCCCTCACATCCACGCTCTCATGTTCAATTCAGTATCTCCAACATGAAATCTCAAGCACTGGACGCCCCAGTCTTTATCGTTTCTTCATCTCATACGAGGGACTAGTGCTATTTCGATCAGTCACAGCAAATTGCTGATTTTCTATCCCCGATCCGTTGATCGCATACATTTGTTATCGGTGAAAAATTGATAAGCCCCTCGAATCATTTGGTCGTTATCGCCGTTTTCACGTTCGACAGGAAAAACATACCCCCAATTTAATCGGATAACGCACACTCCCTTTTTGGCGGAATTTTTTTTTATCGTTCATTGATTGTTTTAAAATACTGCTGAGAAATATTTTAATATCTGTGATATTATTTATTTATTTATTTATTTGAATCTGCGGATTTTTTTTGGGAAAGGAGGAAAAATTCTCGTGATACTCTTCACTATTTTCGATTTATCTCGAAAATTATCGATTTGAGATCGTGACTTCATGGGACTTTTTTGGAGCTGATGAAATTTCAGACGAATTGGGTCTTATGACATTTCCGGTTAAAATCAACAGTTTTTCAGATAATCGATGGATTAACAAAATTGTTAAATTGGCTGAACGAAAATTTGAAGTTTCTTTAGATTTTATTAAAAATTCTCAGATTTCAATGGCATAAGTTCTTTGAACAAAAAAAATCCACTATTCAGTTCGATTATATTAGACAAATCAAAAAAATCTACTAAACCATTCAATTAAAAAATGACTTAATTTTTTATATATCTTCGTCACTTGGGAATACAGAGAATGAACTTTTCCCATAGTTAGGTCTCACTAATGACACAAACCAGTAACTCAAAACCCTCTTTGACAATAGCCCATTCTGCCACGTGCAACAACTCCCCCAATGCTATAAAAAAAAAATTATTTGAGATCCCAGGAATAGCTAGTGGTGGTTTGCACGCGTGTCAGGCAATTCCCATTTCTATTTTAACATCCTGGGGTTAGGATTTCTCACGATGGGATATCATCGGTCCCGAGGAAGATCAATAGCCGTCAATATTAATGAGCATTAGAGATCTCCGGAGTTCTCCAGTTATTTCTCATCCATCGCTATTGTTTTTAGTGCACGTTATCCCGTGAAAATTGATGAATCGTTGATACAACGTTGTTTGGACGATTCATCTCTCCATCAATTATTCGTATTTGGTAATACCCGGGTGCATTAATCATCCGCATAACTGCTGAATTAAATGATCCTATTGATTAATGGAGGAAGGGCTGATGGAAGTTTAAAAAATACACTCATAATCGATTAAAATCATCGGTAATTCATTGTTTCATATTTCTGACTAGAATTAACTTTATTATTATTATTTCAATAAATTCTCTGACACTGAAAAATCATCAAAAAATCTGTCATTAATTTTTCAATTTCTGATTATGGGAGTTATTCGAAGTTATTAAATTTTAATTAAAGATTCATTGAATAAAATATTTAATTCACTTAAATGAATAATTTTTATTGTAATTGTAATTTAGTTGTATAGATAATAGAAAAAATTGTGCGAGAATTATGGAATATCGATATCTGATGATTTTTTAAATTATTGTTGCAGGTGGTTTTGCCATTTTGATGATGATAATTACGTGAATGTACCTCGTCTGCTTAAGCTGTTGGACAATTACAATCCCCGGGAGGACTGGTATCTCGGCAGGCCGTCGATACCAGCACCCTTGGAGATCATGAGGCAACAAGGTGCTGACTCGTCCAAACGACCGGTGAGTTGAGCTTATGTTTATAGTAAATATCCTGCATGAAATTTTCTGTCGACTTCACTAATTTCAACATTTTATCGACAATTCGTGCTCTCTTCCTACCATGTTCACGTTCTCTCGTCATGTTGCCGATGTTATACGCCCTTCCGACATTTTTCATTTTTTTTTCTATCACAAATTTCTCTGCTGACGCTTTATCAGTCATAAATATAACACACTGAGAAAAATTACTTCCGTTAAATTAATTCATCTAGACAAATTTCTTGAAATTTATTTTTAATTAGATTTTTCATTAACTTTCCAATGAAATCCAAAATTTAGAATAGATTGAAAATTCAGGGAAATCTTTTCTCGAATTTTCTCCATTTCTCTGTCTTTCGGAATATTAAAATAATTTCAATTTTTCTTTTTACTGTGCTGGATTAATTTTCGGGTAAATTAATTATAAATTTTTCGTCGTATTTTCGGATTATCCTATTCTATTAGTGAGCGTTAGTGGAGAATGGAGTATAATAATGAATAAATAGAGAGGTACATTTGGTGGGTTGGAGAAGGGGAAAGCCACGTGTGTGTGCGTGTGGATAATCATAAATTGGAGGACACGTATAACATGGTCAAGCGAGATATTATCGCGATTTAATCGTTCGATATGTGCGTATGGCGTCGGTTCTGTGGGGCTTTGAGAGAACCAATGATCTTATCGCCATGTCGAGTGTCTGTCATGCTGCCGCACCACTCTGAATTCCGTATTCTCTTTTGCCAGAGTGAAATTCAATTGAAAATTGAATAAACCCTCTGGTAAAAACACTTGGGAATAGCTCGTCGTTTATTCATTCATATACAACCCTTTGTCAACGAACAGCGAAATATCCTCGCAGAATTCGCGACTGTTGATAAATATAATCGATAACTACAATCGATAAATACTCTTTTCGCGAATGACTAGTTGCTGATTCCCTTTTTTCTATTCTTTAAAATTCCTCTGAAATCCTCTGAAATTCGTAAAAGGTTCCACTTTAGAAATATTTTTGACTGTCACAATTTCTCATAATTCATTACGATCATCTCGTAATTTTTCATTGTCTAATTGGATTTTCTGATTGAATGGGGAAGATAAGGAGCTTAAAGTTGTCATTTAGCCTTTGAATTTTGCATTGACTTATTGAAGTTATTGGTGGTATGTTTGGAGTTCTGTAGTGAACGATAAAACCTCAGAGGGCATCAAATTCAGAGCGATCGATTCACCTTCAGTGGATATCGAGGGAGATTGTCGGATCGATATAGTTAAACCCGATAAAAAGTAAATAACATGGAGAGCCAGTAAATTCTCGAGCAGTCGAATGTCTTGGAGGGATTTCCAAGACTATGTTTTTCATCGATACTCTTCATTCAAGTTCGTTGGGACAATCCGGTCGAACCAGTATTATATTGAACATGCTGATGCACGGGAGGGAAAGAGATCAGAGAAAAAGAGAGAATCCGTTTGTCAGAAGACAGGAACCTGTGCATCGTCAAAGACTATCGATTCTTCCTCATCCTCTTGTTTCTTCTCTTCATGGCATATCGAGAACTTTTCTCTCTACTCTTGCATTTGAGATCATTCAATTCGCTCTTCAAAATATTGATAAATATTGAAATTTCGCTATTGATTTTTTTGTCTTCAACTTTTTCTGAAATTTCGGAATATCAATGAGAATACAAAATTACTTTTACATGGAGTAAATCATGAATTTACTTGAGAGAAGTATGTATTTTCTCAGAAGGATATTTATCCAATTGAGTAGTTTTTAGGTGATTTTCATTGGCTTCTGATTATTACTCGTTTTCTGTAAATAGACAATTTTTTCAAGGAGAGGAAAGTGAGGGAATTGCTGTAAACTGACTGTCATTTATCGCGTTTATTAAAAAAAATTGTTGGATATTCAATGGGTGGCGTTTTAGTACAGTAAAAATAGCCCGATTCATCGCCTATGAAGAATGGCTTCTTACGCTGACAATTCAAAATAGATATTTCAAGTCTCAGACCGTAAATCTTCTACTCCCGGACGTAAAATGAATTCGATGCTCTACCTCGTAAAACGAGATTTTATGGTTCAAGAGTCGGTACGATGGTACTTTACGGAAAAGTGTGAGACAACATCACGCGTTCTTCATCCTTAACCGCTGATTTCATGAAAACAAATGTGACGTGTTCAACAGTCTGGGGAAATCATGCATTTCTTTCCATTACCGGTTCGGCGAAAAAAAAATTCCCATAAAAATCCATAATTCTAGGTCGAAGTGAGGACTTCCTGAAAATCGAACGACCCAAAAATTTCGAGTTCTTTGCAATCCCCATAATTTCCTCACTATCCTTATATAATAAAATAAAATCTCTGATGGACCCAAGAAATCGACCATTAAAATCGATTATAACAATCGATAATCGACAACAATCGATTTTGCAAATCGATAATAGTCGATTGTGATAATCGATAATAATCGATCATGAATTGAAAAACGGTGGATTGTACAAGTTGGTTGATTTGAAGATGAAAAAAAAAAGAGAGACGTGATAGAAGGGCCCCATGTGTTTTCGACCCCCCGTGGGTGTGGTACTCCGTTCCGCACCGGCACGTCGCGATTATAGTTAACGTCCAACGTCCTGTGTACATGCCCTCATCCACTATACGGATTCTATCCATTCTTTTCATTTCCCCTTTCACGTTTCCCCATAGCTCCACCTCAAACCCGGCCATGAACTTGGTACGATAGTAATTCCATCGATTTCTCCTTTTTGACGAATGACTCAAGTTGGAAAATCTAATCTAGGAAATTGTTGACCGACGAATTAACCTCCGGATAATGAATGTGGATTGAGGCTGTTTTTTTTTTTCTTTTAAATCGCTTTTATGAAAAGATAATTGGATGAAGGTATATTGCACCACGCCTTGGGTGAAAGGCCCTGACGTGTTCGTCAGTCCAGGATTACTGTCCGATATATCCCCCGTTGCCGCGATATGACTCCTCCATGCTCATTTGCTCCACTAGGATACCATCGCCCAGATAACCCGTTGAGTAACCGTAAAACCGCTATCTTGCCCTGCACAGATAAAACTTCATGTTTATTTCTCAACTCGCCCGGTGGTTTCTTTTAATGGCACTAGAGAATGCTCCTGGAGAGGGCTACATCGACAAACTCAATACCCCAGGGAATCGTGATCAATCGTTATTCATATCTATCGTTACCCTCACCAATGTCCATACGGAATTCCTCCATCTTCCTCAGAATCAACTATTTTCCGACTTGTCTGATTCTGAAATTTTTCGAATGCCAGGGAATTTATTTTTTCATCCATTGATAGGAATTTTACTTTCATTCTCAATTTCTTTCTTCCATCCCCAATACTGGGGTTACATCTACAATTTTCCGGGGAGGGGAATCACGTTTTTTTTTTTTTCAAATTAATTCAATTCAATTTCACATTCGTCTAGTAGAAGAAAATGCGAACATTTTTTCTCCACGCGATTTATATAGAAAAAATTGATATTGAGTCATGGGCAATTTTTATGCGTTTGGATAATAAATTCCTTTTCGTAATGAAGAATAGAATTTAATGAAAAATTAAAATTTCGTGTTATTCACTCGTTGGGTTAATGATCGAATGATAATCATCCGGTGGGATCTCGAAATTCGGTGAGCGAAGTCGATTCACTTCTGGATAATCATTCGGGCATTCCTGACGTGACGCGAGGTGTTATCAGATGGATAAGAGGACAGTCCAGGGTGGTTGATATTTTTTAAGTTCTAATATCAGCGAGCTGTAGGTGGGCAGCTGAATGGCACACAGCTGGGGGCTCGGGCCTGTACAATCCACCGCTATTAATCATTTTTTTCAGTCAAAAGGAGAATACCCCATTTTTATAGTCACAAACACCTCAATTTTTGCTTCTGTTAATGTCCTTTCATGAGGAATATTTATCTCCGAGAGATGGAGATATTTTATGGCAATACTTCATAGAAATATATAACATTGCTAAATTTACGTGAGATAAATTTTCTTTAACTTAAATCTCATCTTTCCTTAAAAAGCCATTATTCAGATGTGAAATTGTGTCGAGCCCTCGAGGAATTTATTTTTCAAATTCCTCAGCAAAATTAGATCATGTTCAATGCTCATGTAATTTATTTAATTCTTTAAATTTCTGATTAATTTCTTCATTCACTTTCACAATTGATGAAAAATTATAAAAATAAAAATTGGGTATTCAATTAAATTTTCGAAGATTTCGGTTCGGTTCGGTTTTGAAACTAGATAATTCCTTGAATTTTTTCAAAATTAATTCGTTGGAGAAAAATTCTGGGGAAATTTTCTGTGTCTCAGTCTTTGTTGAAAATGTAAAGTTGACTTTTTGAAGAGTGCGGACAGAGACAGCCGAATAACCAGCTAACTGTCAACGAAATATCATTTTTTTTATTCATTGCAATGCGTGGAAACAATTTAGCAGTATATCCGGGTGTGCACCACATGTGCCACAACCCTTTGCTTTATTTTTCCACCTTGCATCCGACCATCTCCTATTTTTCCCTCCACCGTAGTCCGTGCAAATGTGATTCCCCCAGGAATCCACCGAGATTATATTGGAACCTGGGGTAGAATGACGAGTGTAATAACACTGTACCACACCAAGAGTTATATCGAAAGAAACCCACCGGTTTTGTAATTGCCTCGTTCCGCTGGATCCTCGCAATTATTTTTGCACGACTGGAGATGAAAAAAAAAATGTATGAAAAAGAAAAAAAAATGTCAGAACGAGCCGAAAAACCAAAGATACTTCTCCCCTTTTGAAATCAGTTTGCTAGACCCATTAGGGCAATTTGGAAAGGTTATTAATGGAGGTGGTGCACTTAATTCTCCGCTACCAGGACAACCAACGAGACAAACCATTTCAAATCCACTGGGATTCTCCCATTCAGACAACACCGGGACGAATTTAATTAGAACCGCGTGCGTTTAGTCCAT